AATATCTTATTTTGACCCCGACTTGTTGGGAATAATTCAAGTGTTAGTTTAAGTCTCATATTGGATAGAAATGACAAATTTAAATACCATATAAGAAAAAATACCCATAAACCCAATCCCTTGAGGTTTTAGGTTAAAAGTAATGCTAATCGCTTATGTGGAATGACTCAGGTCATATGTATATAATATATCCCCAATAAACCCCCATATGAAAGAATAAAAAAACTCATCGGTGGTTGGTTCGTCAAGTCACCGTACACTTGAAGAAAAATATACCATATGAAAGGGACTCGTCCTTGAGGAAAGATTAATAGAAATAATTGAAATATCAATTTAAGTTTCACATTAAATATAAATGAGAAAGTTAAATATCATAGAAGAAAACAATCTATAAACTCAATGTCTTGAGGTTTTTTTTGTTAAAAGTAATATCAATTTTTTGTATTAATTGGACTCAAATCTCATTTATAAAATATTTCCCGATAAACCTCTCATAAAAAGAACATCACGACTGACATGCTTACCTCCTTGGATCTAGGATCGCCCACAATTTATTGTATACTCTCCCACCGTTTTCTAAATCAACCTTGTTATTGATGTTGAAGCCCCGAAAGCTCTAGGATTGCTTCTTTGAAAATGGTGTGGCAGGGAATGAGGATAAGAAAAAGGGGGAAAAGGAAGAAGAGAAAAAGTGCAGAGGCAAGGGAGAAGAAAAAAAAGCATACAAAAGAAAATTGACTCTGCGATCAATTTAATGATGTTATTTACGCTAAGCGTGAAACTTATAATAACTGTAACTTCCTTTTTTTTTCATCCACTAGTGCAGAACTGGGCTTTAACGTCATCCCGTAGACGTCGGACCACAAAATAACCAACGTAAATTGTTGACTGGTGGCATTTTCGTAAATAAGTTGGCATATAGACGTCTGTTAGGCGGGACCCCGACATCCATAATATTATATAGACGTCGGGGCCCCCGTTAACAGACGTCGGATAACGCCATCCGATGTCTAAATGGCCTGATGAAAAGTTGTTTTGGACGTTATATTAATGAGGGCCCTGACGTCGATTCAACTGGGGAGCCGACGTCTAGTTTGCTGTTAAATCATACATCAAACCCGCTGTTACGAGCACCACTTCATCGTCTTCCTTCTCGCCTTTTCTCTCAGCGGCATTGCTTTTCCAGTTGCGTTTTTTTCTCTTTTGAACCGTTTAAACGTACTTTTATTCCGATTATATTAGTCTTTGCTTGATTATTTTTCACTTGAACCGATTAAAATGAGTTTTTGTTGTGTTTTGGTGCAGTTTTTCTCGTGTCTTTGGGTAGCGTTGTACCGCATTCTCTCTTTGCTAGTTTCCTCGTAAGAAAAGCTTGCGTCTTTTGGATGTCTTATAGCATTTCAACCCAAAATCGAACTTCGTCCTTGCCTAGTTCTATTGTCACCGTTCGTTTTCATTGGCGGTTTTAATGGAACTAGGTAAGGACCCAGATTCGATTTTCGGTTGAAATGTCATAAGAGATCCAAAAGACGCAACCTTTTCTATGACGAAACTAGCAAAGAAAGAAGGTGCTACTACTCTACTCAAAGACACGAGCTGCAGTAGACGTCGGTTAATGCAATGTCCGATGTCTAAGGGGCTACATAGACGTCGGACATTGCATTATTTGACGTCTATGTAGCCCTTTAGACATCAGACATTGCATTAACCGACGTCTATGAAGTCCCTTAGACATCGGGGTCATGCAGTAACCGATGTCTATAAAGACGTTGGACCTGTTTGAGTCTGACGTTTGATTAACGTTACCCACAAAGACGTTGGTTCTGGAACTGACGTTAAAAGACCAAAATAACAGACGTTAAATGTTCTTTCTGCACTAGTGATCTCTATTCAGGAATAACAGATTAATTTATCTAGACAAATAAGTTATTCAATTTCTAACAAGTCTATCAAATTCTAAACTTTTTTAATGGTCATCACTTAAAAAGATATATGTGTGTGTAAAAATTGAATTCTTAACAACAAGATTTTTTCTTTCAATCCGTGATTTTAAGTTTGAATTGTTGTTAAACGATATTTCTGAAATGGTATAAACATTTGTATTCCAATAAACAATTACCATACTTTTGTAAACATGAGCAATTTGATCTAAAATTAAACATATAAGACTCACATTATCAGTTGCTAACTTTTCCTAGTGAAATAAAGTTACATGAGGAACAAATACATTTATAATAAATAATTTTACAGTAATAATGTGAATGCAAAAATTTTAAATTGAAGATAGTTAAAAAAGAAGAGGTGATCTTAAGTAAATGAGAAAAGGGAAAGAAGATTAAAGAGATGCACTGATAAATGGCCTGATAAAAAGTTGTTTTGGACCTCATATTAGTGAGGGCCCTGACGTCTAGGCCAGAATAGACGTCGGTTCAACTGGGGAGCCGACGTCTAGTTTGATGTTAAATCATACATCAAACCCGCTGTTACGAGCACCACTTCATCGTCTTCGTTCTCGCCTTTTCTCTCCGTGGCATTGCTTTTCCAGGTGCGTTTTTGTCTCTTTTGAACCGTTTAAACGTACTTTTATTCAGATTATATTAGTCTTTGCTTGATTATCTTTCACTTGAACAGATTAAAATGAGTTTTTGTTGTGTTTTGGTGCAGTTTTTCTCGTGTCTTTGGGTAGCGTTGTACCGCATTCTCTCTTTGCCAGTTTCCTCGTAAGAAAAGCTTGCGTCTTTTGGATGTCTTATAGCATTTCAACCCAAAACCGAACTTCGGTCCTTGCCTAGTTCTATTGTCACCGTTCGTTTTCATTGGTGGTTTTAATGGAACTAGGCAAGGACCCAGATTCGGTTTTCGGTTGAAATGCCATAAGAGATCCAAAAGACGCAACCTTTTCTATGACGAAACTAGCAAAGAAAGAAGGTGCTACTACGCTACTCAAAGACACAAGCTGCAGTAGACGTCGGTTAATGCAATGTCTGACGTCTAAGGGGCTCCATAGAAGTCGGACATTGCATTATCCGATGTCTGTGTAGCCCTTTAGACATCGGACATTACATTAACCGACGTCTATGGAGTCCCTTAGACGTCGGGGTCATGCAGTAACCGACGTCTTTAAAGACGTCGGGCCTGTTTGAGTCCGACATTTGATTAACGTCACCCATAAAGACGTCGATTCTGGAGCTGGCGTTAAAAGGCCAAAATAACAGACGTTAAATGCCCTTTCTGCACTAGTGATCTCTATTCGAGAATAACACATTAATTTATTTAGACAAATAATAAGTTCTTCAATTTCTAACAAGTCTATCAAATTCTAAACTATTACCATTCTCTTATTCGATTCAATATTTCTAGACTGACTTTTTTAATGGTCATCACTTAAAAAGATATGTGTGTGTAAAAATTGAATTCTTAACAACAAGATTTTTTCTTTCAATCCGTGATTTTAAGTTTGAATTGTTCTTAAACGATGTTTCTGAAATGGTATAAACATTTGTATTCCAATAAACAATTACCATACTTTTGTAAACATGAGCAATTTGATCTAAAATTAAACATATAAGACTCACATTATCATTTGTTAACTTTTCCTAGTGAAATAAAGTTACATGAGGAACAAATACATTTATAATAAATAATTTTACAGTAATAATGTGAATGCAAAAATTTTAAATTGAAGATAGTTAAAAAAGAAGATGTAATCTTAAGTAAATGAGAAAAGGGAAAGAAGATTAAAGAGATGCACTGAAAGACAAATCATTATGTTGATAGTCATAACTTGAGACATTTTTATACAAGTGAATGTTTTACAAATGTATTATTACCTTTATTTTACCTGCAATGTCCTCTTTATAATGCTTCAATGATAGTTAACATTTTCAAAAATACAAAACTTCCTTAAATCCAATTTACATCGAAGTTGCCCAAGTGCTACCAACATGTGTAATGTTCTCTTTTAATCAACAATGTCGGTTTTGAACTTTTTTCGTCTAATAATTGCTTTGTCGATTTTTCTTCATGCTCCTCTTAAGTTACAACTTTCTTGAAGAGGTCAATTGTAATCGAGTTTAATTTTGACCGACAACATCTTACATTCAATATTATTATAAAATGGGGTTCCCATATTTGCAGCTTAATTAGACCTTAATAGAAAATAATGTCGGTCATCACTCTCATTATTAAAGAGAAAGAGCCAAATCTTTTTTTTTTCTTTTGCTTAAAAGAAATTTTATATATTAAAAGAGATCTAAGTTATACAAGATGATACCACAAACGTGGCAAATAACCAAGTTAAGTAGTACTTGTCGGGTAGAAGGAAACCATCCCTTCCCATTCTTTTTAATCTACCAAAATTATAAGGGTAATCAATCTATCAATGAATACGTAAACACAAGGGATTAAAAAAATGCTATTTTTACGTTAAGTATAGCATGAATCATAAAACTCATTATTAGTTGTTAAAATTAATCGGATAATATTACTAACTTTGCTGTAAGCCCAGCAATATTAACATTATTTAGGAGATGCTCCAAAGCTTAAAAAGGAGAAGAAAAGGTTCTCTTCTACGTTAGTTAACGTATATTTGAACTTCATCAACTAAAGATTCTATGACTAACTCTAAAGGATTGCAATAGTTTCATCCAACTAATCCATGTAATCATGACAATTAACAAGTGGTTTATAAAATTTAGAACAATCGCATTTAACTAATTAAGAAAACAAAACATAGATTTTTGAGATAATAAAAACAAGCTCTTTACTAGAAATTTAATTAAGATTTCCTTTGAAAGTAAAAGTTGAACACAAAATCCGATGAGGTGCCCACAGTTTGAGTATGCAAAAGGACTATCTTCTTGAAGTGTAGGTAGCAAGATATGATTTAATATTGATTGCCTAAAATGAAGTGCCAGAAGAAAAATGAAAAAAAAAAAAGAAAAAGTTGAATGTGAGAAGAAAGATTGTGAAGAAGTTAGAGGATGGAGAGAAAGAGTTGATATAAAATAATCAAGTGGATACATATCTTACACTTGAGGGAAAAGGGAAAAAGAAAAAGAAAAGAAAGTCTAATAGTAGTAGTATGGTTGGTGACGATGGTAGAAATGGTGATGGTTTTGTGTGCCCTGTGTGGAGGGCATGTTGGTAGTATTGTAGGAAGATTGGGGTGTGGAGGGTCCAGAATCATGTTCGGTTTGGCATTCCATGTTCACCCCAAAAAGCCTAAGTACCCTTGAACTCGAACTTGAACTGGGACTGTTCCCCTCTGCTATGCTCCTTTCTCTCTGACCTTGGGACCCTCTTCCTGTAACATTGCAACACGTGCATTTCTCAGTACCTTCATCAAACTAACCCATTCAATTCAAAAATAAACACCATCCATGAACATCACCACTAACAGACTAAACGCCACCGCATGTTTTTCTCAACCTCCCAGCTTATGCCGAAAAGGTTGTTTTTTTTTCCTTATAAAATTTATTCAACGACAATCGGCGCGTGTGCTTCACGTGGGTTTCGCCAATCTAAAACAGCTTATTTGCCTCCTCGCAAATCCCAATATAAAACCACATTTCTCCCGATTAATTGGAAGGTAAACTTCACGCACTTCCACAAGAATGTAATTATTTCATCATCTTGTCCTTTTTTTTTCTTTTTTTACAACAAAAAAAGAAGCAAGTACGGTTCGAAACAGGAAAAATAAACCCGAAAAGAAAAAAAAAAATCCAGTGAAAGAAGGAATTCTTTGAAAGGATATTGTACCCAAGGAAATCCAAAACAAAGGCAGTGTTATTCATGAAAGGATAGATGAATTACAATTTATATTCTTTCTAGAACACAGGAGTTGTGATGCTGTTTTACTCTCTCTCTTTCTTTTTTTTCTATGTTTCAGTGTAAAATGTTTGATTGTTTTTAACAATGTTAATGAAGTATTAAATGTTGTTTACCATTTATTAAAATAAGGTAAGAATTTTGGGTTAAAGAAGAATCTAAGTGGTATATGGCGGATAAAAAAGTGTGTTACATTTTTTTAAAAAATTTAAATATTATTATACTATTTGTTAGACAAAACCTGAATGGCAGAAAAAGGGATGAGAAAAAGTATTTAAAAAACTAAAATAGGTGAAAGTGAAAAAGGCAATGATAAATGTTTTTTGGAAAATTATCCATTCTTTTTAGGAAAAATAGATTAAAGAGATAAATTATTTATTTGGATTGAAGAGATAGAGCAACCTGCATGAAGACAGTCATATTGGTATGGCAAGGGTTGATGATTATGCAGCTGCTGCTGATGCGTAGGATAAGGATGCGCAGAATAGAATCCTCTGGTCCATCCCAAACCAACACCAGTGGTGCCGCCACCCTCATTCTTACTACTCCCGTCGCCACTCTTCCCGTGCCCCACCGCCCTGCCGCTAACGTGCACCGGCGATGTGTCGCCGTGTCGCCGGCGTCTCCATCCGATGAATAGGCGGTGGGCATCGGCGCGGTGGCGCTCGAACAAGACAACGTCGCCGGCGTCGAGGCGCTTGTCCTTGACGTAGCGGCTCCACCCTTTGGTGAGCACGTAGCTCTGGCTGCTGTTCCAGTAGGAGTAGCGAAACCGCCAGCACTTACCCGACTCGTCCTCGAAACTCAATAGGAGCCCCTTGCACTCGCCCGAGTCGCCGCCACCGCCACCGCTGAGAGGGAAGTACTTCTCGGCGTGCTGCTTGGGGATTACGAGGCGGTTGAGCTTCCCCACGTCGCTGGGAGTTAGAGGCTTCTCGAACATGGGTTCCTTCTCGTCTTCCGTTTCCTCTTGCTGTGTAGTGGTTGTTGTTTGGTCCTCTTCTTCTTCGTCTTCTTCGACGTCGTCGTTTTGGTGGTTGAGGTTGAGACCCGGGGGGTCTGCGGAGGGCCAGGAAGTGGAGGAGGGATTCGGGGTTGCTTCCATTAAGATGGATTGCTGCTGATGATGCTGTTGTTGGGGCCACCACAGTGTTGTTTCGGGAAGGTCCATGGAGTAGTGGTTTATCGACATTTTCCAAGTTGTTCACTTCTCTCTCCACTGTGTATGTGAGAGAGAAAGAGAGAGAAAAGGTTGATTTGGAATTGAGGATTTTGTGAGGGTACAGATAGCAGAATGAAGAATGAGAGAAAGAGAAAGAGGAAGGGTTTTGAAAGAGGCGTGATGATTGTGGTTTGATGTGGGAACTGTGGGAACTATTTGATGGAGCAAGATATGACAAAGAGAGAGAAAGAAAAAGAAAATATTATCTGCCACCATTTTAGTTTTCTTTTCATTTTTTTAACATTAAATATACAATAATTCGAGAAAAACAGAGACACATGTTTCTGTTTAGTTTTTGAATTACTCTTTATATTTTAGCAAAATCTAAAAATACCCCGCCATACACGTAATACTTATTGATTCAAGTTACGTGCGAAACGCGTTACTACATCGAAAAAGTACATCACATTTTTTTAATTCAGAAAGTACATTACAATATCCGACGAAGGATCGACAATGATAACTTATTTTCTATTAAATACTTAATATCCTCGACAACTATTTTTAGTCGTTTTTTTTTTTCTGGTTTCCACTCTAATTAAATATTAATGAATAATGACTCTGTAAAATTGTCTGTGTAATTATAAAATATATGGTAACGAGGGATGAATAAGTTGATAGAAATATATAATAGTCCGTGAGACATAGTGAGATTATTAAAAAAGTGAATTATTACTGAATTGGGGCGAACATTTATGTCTATGAAAGGTGAGAAAGAAAGATAGATTGTAGAGGAAAGTAATTTGGTGGAATTAGGGACATCCCATGTTACTAAATTGGCAAACAAATCAAGTATAAAAAAAAGATGGGTCCCTTCTTCTTCTTCATTCCCGGACTAAGTAATCATCATAATCTCAATATGCTCCCTCACTCTCCGATGCTTCTTCTTTTCTCAATCCCATGCCGGCCTAGTTCACCTATTACCCTTTTACTCATTTTATTATTTCCACAACCAATTTCATTTTCACTTTTATTCAACACTGTTGACTTTATTTCATTACCAGTTTATGACTGACGTAAAACTATCCATTATTAAAAAACTAGTAACAACACGCTTCTTAATTGAAATCATGATAAAGGGACACTAAAAAGGCAGCAATTTTTTCGCAAAAATCACAACAGTTCCGGTGTAGTTTTCCAGGAGCTACTTTAAGCAGCATGGAATGAATTGTTACTGTCATATATAGAAATATACCTACATATATACGACCTTGTTTGTTTACCAGTTTTTGTGTCAGTAAAAAGATTACATAATGCAATGAGTAAAAGAAAAGAGAGATGGAATTGAAGATGGTCTTGGTTTAAATATAAATTTTTGTTGGTTTTGAGGAATGAACGAAGGTGATAATTTGGGTGAGGTAAAAAAACGTAAGAGGTGAAAAGGGTTGATTTTAAAATGAGTGTCCAATGAGTTGATATTTCGTGGTTGAGATGGATGAAAGGGTGGCCATTTGATGATTGAGAGGGGAAAATAAGAGAGTGGTCCATGTTTTTGGTTTTTGTATGTTTATGAGGGGCATGTGTGTGCGCAGATATAGGTGCAATTGATTGAGGTATCTAAAAAATGTGGCATTATATATGTTGAGATGAGAAAGAATAGTATTTGCATCACGTGGAAGAGTGAATTATTTGTGTTTGGCCACTCCTAGTGTTTGAATGATAGGAAATTATGAAAATGAATTTGTGAGGGAAGATAAGCAGAAAAAAAAAAAGAAAAGGGATGGATGCATTAGGTTCCCAATGAAGGAAGACGATGAGATAAGATTTGTCCAATGAGAGAAGACAGAAAAAGGGTGTTTGTGTAACGGTGTTTGAATCCCCTCCTCACACTTGAATCTCTCTATTTGTTTACTCATACGGTCCCTTGGCTGTCTACCCAATGCACCCTTCTATTAAAATATGCTTCTATTGCATCATATTTATTGGCTTCTTTGGTTAGATTGCGTCTTTTCCATGACTTCAAGACAAAACTCACCTCAATTTCCAGGTAGATTCAGACACCCTTTTCTGCTCCACCAAAGGTTCAACTGTGTGTTCTTTTAGTTTAAGTACATCTTAGAGTCACGCCCGTAATTATAGACCCTCCTTTGGCCTTTTCTTACATTTTCTTTCATTGTTAATTCTCCAATACAAACAACCATCACTCTTTCATCTTACTCCAGGTATATATATAAAAATATACTACGTCCTTATAATTCCAATTCATTCCTCTCGTGTCCCTTTGCATCGGACGGTCCACAGCACCTCAACAAAAACACAAACACATGGAGTGCAATTAATTCCCAGAAGCTGGAAAGCTTGTTGAAAATTGCACTTGCAGGCTCTGCAAATGATTATGATGAGATCCAGTCGCTTACATGTAAATGCCGAAACCTGAAATTTTATTTTACCGGTTCAAAGATGTTGCTTGCCCCAGTGCAGGAATCCTTAAATATGAAGGAACACACAGGCTGGGGTGGGTGAGGAATCTGCATGTATGCCATGTTGTTGTTGTTTATTTCTGGAAAGAGATGTGGTGAACAAGACAAAGTAAATATGAGATATTTAAGGAAACTAGGCTAGGCACTACGACAGAGAAAATAATAATACACTACTATATCACAGAATTCAGTTCATCTCAATTTCTCATATAAATCAGATTCTTCCTAGCTAATACTTTTCTCCAAAAACAAATCATCACCTGCTTCCAAAATTTTAAGACAAAGATATTATAGATTTTTATACATTATTTAACAAAAGCATTTCAGATCTGATTGGAGAACAACATCAATAATACTTGTTGGAACTGTGTGTATATTTTGTCTTAATGATAAATATATTTAAAAGTGCATTGAAAAGTATGTCATAAATTAAGAATTTTATTTTAATCGATTTGGAGAAAAAAAGCAGGCGAACATGGTTTTCTGATAGAGATGCGATGATTGGTTTAAGTGTGTTTTGTATGAGATCGAAGAAAGCGTTCCAGATTGTCATTTGCAAAAGTTCATTGTAGCATTTATGTATTCCAAAAACAACTTGTTAAGAAAAGGCCAAGAACGATGTACGAAATCTATTATCTTTGATACGCATCCTGCACCTGAGTTTATCGCACACCGAGACTAATAAACAACAACGTCTACTCATTTTCAAATTACAATATAAAATTACTTCAAGTTTAACACAACATTTCTAAATAATATGTGTAATGTATAATATCTCACATATACCAAATCCGACGGCTCTAGAGAAGTAAAAGCAACCAGTGAGAAAACAACTGAGTCAATAGGTAAAATCGAACGACTATCATTAGGGACATCCAGCCTAATTTAATAAATAAGTTTTTTTTACAAGGATTAATGTAAATAGTAATTAGGAGTATTGTGTTGAGATTGATCAAGATTAAGATTTTACATTTGAAGCTCATGCCAACAATTATAAATACAGATTAAAGATAAGTGATAGATGATCGCATTTATTGTACATTTAATATCATTATTCTGAATTTTCGTATGAATTGTTATTTGAAGTGACTCAATCTTATTCTCGAAATTGAATTAAAACATAAAAGAACTAATGTAGAAACAAACTAGTAAAATGTTAATGATTATATATAGTAATATGTTTGCATTGCATGTGGTGGTTTCGAAGTTGAAAAGAGTACGACGATCATGGATGGTAGCTGGAATTAATTTATACGTATGTGAGCGTAAACTTGCAACAAAAAGCAGTAAAGCAGATTGAAAGATGTAGTCGGAAGGCAACGAAATGTGAAACTAGAAATTAAAGTTGATGGCAAAATTCAATAAAATTAGGCTCACGCAATTCCAAATTGGTGCAATTGTTCGTGGAAGATAATTAATCAGTGGGGACCATAGTCCTTAATGTTGTCGTTGTTGATGGACCATTAACTTTGGTAATAGTGCAGAAATGCAAAGTGGAGGATATGTTAGACTTTGATTACATGGGTAGGGACTGAAGTGCTCCTCAGCTTTCCATCGTCCTTGGACATTCATTATTAATCATCTATCTTATCAACATCATTAGTTTCAGGAGCCTTCATACCATAAACCTACATTGCTCTTTTAACCAATTCTTTTTATATTACTCTTTTTAATGCTCATTAATCACACACCTTCCCAACCTTTCTTTCTAAATATTACAACTTTTGCTAACAACGTAAGTGATGTTTTGGACATGTAACGCTATTTCACATGAAACGCATTTAATGTCAAGTATTCAAACATCTACATTTCGATCCTTTTTAAAATATGTATACAGTACTTCGCTTACAACTAGGCAATGTAATCATATGATTTAAACTGAAAAATAATTCAAATATATGAGTTTACTTTTATACATTACGTGTAATTAGTAAAATTTTAATTTCTAATCAAGTTTAAAAATGTTTTACTTCTAAAGCTAATTGTGAAATTTTATTATCGTCAGTCTTATTTTCTTATTAAATATTATATTTGTTAATGTTCAAAATGAGAATTTAGAGACTGTTAACTGTTTGTGGCAACTAGTGGATTAATTTCCTGTTAATCCCCTGTCGATCATGAAATGGATGTTTGATTCAGACATATACCCATGATTTTGGCTTGTGAAAAGTAATTTAATAATGAGTTATAACATAATTCTATTGTCGGTATGAACTCCTTTTCTTTTCTTCTTCTATTTCACCATCTTATAATTTATGAGTCTACCAAACACGTTTTTTCAGAGTTGTTTATTTAGATAAAAGCTCGTAGGTCATCTATATATGTAATTTTTTAGCACTGATTTAAATTTAATAAAAAGAGTCAAAATGATAATAAAAATACTTAATTTTTTAAAACACTATCTTTTAACTAATTAATTATTGAAGTCACTCCTATAAGTCTCATCTTTCCGAATAAGATATGATTTTCATTATTGTATATGAAAATAAAATGTTTAATGATAATTCTAGTTATTGTCTATTTTGAACTTTAAAACTTCTTCACGATTTTGTTTTCGAAATAGAAATTTTCAAAAACAATGGAAAGAGAAAAGTACGTTTAAAATTAAATTATTTTTAATTTTGATTGATTGGTGTGGCAAAAGTAATATATAATTTATAAAATGTTGTAGATGGTCGTGTATAAATGAATGGAAATGAAGATTTAGAGATGGTTAGCTTTCTTAATG